CCGTACGTCCCAACCCACAACCATCCCCACTAGCATGCATCCTTCTGAGCGCCCTTGCCGCAGACCGGAGCTCAGTAGACACCAACAAGGGGAAGCGCGCCACGGCCTTTGTCTAGAAGTGGGTCGCCATGGATGACACGATCCTTCCGCCTCCCTCCAGCATCGTGTACTTCGACAGCTCCGCTCAGCCTTTCGTCTTGGTGGGTGACCGAAAGATTTTCTTAGCAACGCGCGCGGACGTGAGGCAGAAGGCCCAGCCCGACGAAATCTGGGAGAGGATGAGGAATCTTGAGCAGAAGCTTGGACATCATGCTCAGAGGATCACAGCCCTCGAATCCGATTGTTCACTTCTGGACACACTTCGGGATGAGATTCTGGACGAGCTTCGAAAGGCCGGGTGGCATATCCCATGAGCTTAGGGTTTGCGGATTAAGGGCGTGCAGTTCTTTTCTTTGTATTCCCCATGATGACCTTCCAAGTAATGCCAAGTAGCCCGGGGCAACGCCCCAAAGTCCCGGCTGCCTCCTTGCGCCAGGAGACTGCGCGACAGAGCAAGGACCTCAGAGCCGAGCTCCAGATGCTGATAGAGTCGGAGCGCGTGGAGAAGCCCAAGGAAGACACAACCTCCAAAGAAACCTTCAACCTAAACGCTAAACCCAACTCCCAAAAACCTAAAGCCTCAATCCGAAAACTTAAGCCCTAAGCTCCAAACCCCAAACCCTAAACTTTAAACCCCTACTCCTTTAAACCCCTAAACCGCAAACCCAACACAGGAGCAAGTCGAAGATCTGCCAAGTGGCAAGCCCCAGGCTGGCATTGTCAGAGTCCATGAGGATGCTGGGTTGCCTTTTTTGGGTTTTAGGGTGTGGGGCTTAGGGTTTAGGGTTTTGGGTTAAGGGTTGAGGGTTTAGGGGTTATGGTTTGGGGTTTCGTGTTTAGGGGTATTTTCGGGTTGAGGGCATAGGGACCCTATATGTACTAACTTGTTTTTTTGAGGGGTCTCCAAGGCCCAACCAAGGATGTGAAGGAGCTCAGTGAGCGCCTTCAAGACCTCGAGAAGCTCCGAGGGAAGCTTGACGATGCTTTGCTCGCCCAGGCCAGGCATACGTTTAGAAACAAGACTAGGGTTTTGGTTTTTGGGTTTGGGGTTCGGGGTTAGGAGGTTAGGTGGTTAAGGAGGTTTTAGGGTTTAGGGCTTAGGGCTTAGGTTTGGGGTTGGGGTTTCGGTTTGAGGTTTTGGATTTGGAGTTTAGAACATAGGCTGGGGTCGTTCTAAATGATGACCCCCTTTTTGGGTCCATATTACTATGCGATACTCTGTGTTTAGGATACCCAAAGCGGGACCATAATTCAGAACCACGTATTTACAATTTAGTTGTTCAAAAGTCGCAGTACAATAAAGTGCATCATCAGATGCATGATCTAGAACTACGGAGTTGCTAGAACATGGGAGAATATAGTATTCGTATATGAAACAGGGTTTATATTACTGTTATTAGGGTTCCTTTGTAATATTGGTGAGTGTATATACCTGGTGTCCTTTTTGGGGGTACAAGAAATACATACCCTGCGTCATATGATCTTCTAGAGCATGTCCTCACCTAGGTCAGGGACGATCACGCCAAGCTGGCCGCTCGCCTCAATGACCTCGTGCGGCTGGCCTCCAGCTCAGATCATGGGCAGTCGGGCCAGGTCTACGTCGACATCCAGAGTCAGCTGGATCTGGTCATGGCTAGACTGGCCCAGCATGACGAGAAGCTCGTGGAATGCCAGGATTTACAGTCCAAGGAGTTTTGGATGCATCTGCAACGCGTGGAGGAGGCCAGGCTCTGTCAAGTCCAAGCACGGACTCAAGTGGAGGTCTACAAGAAAGCCATGGATGCGCAGTTGCGGAAGTACTTGGGTGAGGAGGAGTTCATGCGTTGGACGCGCCTCAAGTGGCAGCAGCTTCTAGCCAGATCAGGCGATGTGTTGCGCCGGGGAGCGCAAAACACCGCCCTGTCCAGGACACGCGTGCAGGTTGTAGCCAGCAGCGCCTTTGATGATGACCTGAGCGAGATGGTAAGTTCAGGTTACGGGGGCTACGTCCGCTGCCCGCGTGCAGACATGCGCAACCAGCGCAGGCGTCCCAGGACCTCTTGCAGTCGTCCACGCGACCCAGTGCCCGAGCAGGTGCTTTCACCACAGCGGCCCCGTTCTGCGGTTCTTGCCGGATGAGGGAAAGCGGCGCATGTGATGCTTTGCAGTAGAATGTACGGGCTGTCCGTTTTGAGTTTCATTGGTAGTCCATTTGGTACTTCTTTGATCTTGGGGACAACTCCTGGGGACAACTCCTGCATAGCTCTGAGCATGCTGCCGGAGGCAAGGCCCATGATACTCCGGAAGTGACACAGGGGATGCCCAGCTCAAAGCTCACGCTTCTTTGGGCCTCGCTTGCGCATGTACAGTCTGTGGCAGGCAGGCCTTAGCATGTTCTTCATGCCTTTGGAGTTTTGGAAGACTCTTGCAGAATTGTAAAAAAGTAATTCTGCATGGATAGCCGCGTGTTGCCAGCGTTGCCTGGCCGCCGGATAGCGCAAGCTTCGCTGTGTTGCTTCTGGCGCGCACACTTGATCTTTTCGCTCTTTCCGGGTGAGGCCAGCCTTATCCCTGTCATCTGTCGAGGCACCGTCTAGAACCCAACCAACCCTAAACCCAAAACCCTCGGAGGTTAGACGAGTTTGGCCTGCCAAAAAGCAACCCCAGTCAGCCAACGCAGAGGTTCAAGACATGAATGTTCTCGAGTTGGAGTCTGAAGAAGTTTGCAGCCACCTGGTACGTATAGGGTTGCCCAACTTAGATAAACTCTATAAGCCTTTTATAGACCCTAAACCCTAAACACCTCGCTTTTTGAAAAAGAGACACTGTCCCCGAGGAAAAGCCTTATAAACACCCTACATAGACACTCTATAACCCAGTCCTATAGAAGCCCTAGCGTTTCAAAAGCCGAGGAAGCTCACAAGCAGTCCTGCCGAGAAGGCCTCCTTGGCTTACTGGTGCTTAAGGGGGAGTGGAAGAGTGGATCCCCGTACTCGTTCCTATATAATCCCGTTATAGTAATCCGTAGAGTGGTCCCTCTAGACTCTATAGACTCCCCTTATAGTAGTCCCGTTTTATTCCCTTTACAGTCGTCACTAGTCCCTATATTCCTTCATCCACTCCCCCTTCAGCACCAGTAGGTTAGGGTAAAGTGAAACGAAGGCAGCAAGTCAGAGGAGGACGCAGACACAGAGCCCCAAACCACAACCCTAAACCCTTTGGAATCGGGAACCTAAAGGGGATATAGGATATAGGGTTCCTTTGTAAAGGGGTCCCTTTAAAGGGGTAATTAGCCTAAAGGCAGTTTACCTGCGACACTTGGTCTTTAAGATGGAAGCATGGGCGCACGCGAGCCATTGGGCCACCTGTGAAAAGTATTGCACACTGGGCCTCTTTGGTCACGGGGGGATTCTTGGCATCTCCAAAGCATTCGCTACGCATGAGGCCGTCAATCATGTTTTGATGAATCGCTTTGCAACCGCACTAAAGATCCAAACGTGGACATCGCGACACATTCAAAACATGCTCGGCTTATTGAACCATGCCAATGCCGTTGGGAGCTTCAGCGGTGTGTTGGTGTGGGTAGAAGATGAGCATGGCAAGTCAAAGGCGCAACTGAGAGATGGGATTCGTGAACATAATGGAACGTGGGTGAACATGCACAACACGCCTGTATCCTGAAATTTTCGAGCTGGCATGTTTCCTCGGCTGCACTTCCTGTGCCCCAGAAGGCCGAATGTTTGACTCCTCATAGAGTCTGGTTCCTCATCGCTAAAGGACCCGTCCAACCTGTGCACGAATGCTCAGTGTCGAAGACGGTGCGAGACCACGAACCAAACTGCATATTCCCAGGCATGTTGGGGAAATGAAATGGCCGTATACAACCATCCCTCGTTTGTGCTGTGCGACTCAGCCTCCCCTGATATAGAGAGGCCTTTAATCTGAAGAAATGCGAGCTTCTGGGTATCAACTCGAATATGTAAGATTTTGTTTGGACACCGCACCCATTTCTTCCAATCATTTACGATACGGGTATTTCCCAAAATAGGGGCACCCCTTTTTTGCCCCTATAGAATAGAATCCGCTAACCTAAAGAAGGGTACCCCTATTTTCGAAAAACCCCATACAGAATTTCTCCAGCTGTTGCAGCCTCGAAGTCTCTGTGCCTGCCGCTTGCTTGCAGGCTGGAATGCGGCCGGAAGCATCACTCATTCAACCAATACCCATGTATGCAATGGAAGGCTAACCTCACACCCACGCAATTGCTTCATTTGGACTTGGTCAAATACAAAGGCGCGTGTCGAATTTTTCAGCCCAAGGACTCTTTTCCATCTGCCCGCTGTTCGAATGAATGCCTAGCTGATTTGGCTTTACCATGCTTGTCCCAAAACCGACTCAGGCTTACGGGACGCATCCTCCGGCGCCCTGGCGTGCAAATCGCTCTGATCGCCCCCGTGCCCGCTGGGCAGAATCAACTCACTGAATGAACAGCGCTTCGACCATATAGTTTCAGACAACCCCGCCCCTCACGTTGACATACATCACAAACGTTGCTATCTCCACTATCAAGAATTCATACAGCATCGCTCCATACAGCATGATCGCCATATTTTGGCAAAGAGGTTTGCATAGCAAACCACCTCTTGATTGGCAAATTGGGTGCATTAGATTCAAGGACATTAGGCTATGCTTACGAGCCAGCCCATAGCAGTAGTGTCCACGTCGCCACCGCCCTTTAGCTCACTGCAATCCCTGCCGTATTGGGGCTTGTGCCGTACCTGCAGGAATGTGTTGTCTCTCCTTGACTCATTTGCCCACCAGCTGCTAGCTCCTTCCCCTACCACAGCCAGAAGCTATTCCATTTAGCCCCGCCCGACAAAGTGGCTTCGGTCGTCTTTGGGCACGTAAGTCTGTGAGCTGCTTTGGTGTTGAGTTTTGTTTTGGTGTGCCATCATGCCACAATTGCATTCATCTTTATCCTTGCGGCGTTGAGGCCATGATGTTCCTGCCCAAACGAAGCAATAGACGCCATGGCGGCAGCAAGGTTCCTGATTGTGCCGCTGCTGGCTTTGCTGGCTTGCTTTGTTGGTTGTGCCTCTGAAGTGGCGTTGGGTGCAGTTGGAGGTTGGACCGCTTATGACCCTCCAGAGCTTATCGCGACAATTGCCGCGTTTTTGGACTACCGGGCCAACTGGGACGCTGCCTTGGCAGCCAGGTTGGGGCCTCCCAGAATTACCATCCCAGGTGGGTTTCATCCGAACGGAAGCTCTGTTGCTCTTCGCATCGGAACGTCGCACCTGCGGCCGGATGTCGGGGTGGCCACGGCCTTAGACATGATGCTGGGCCTCGATGGTGCGCAGCCTGTGGCAGGGCTGTTGGCAGCTTCCGCCTCATCCGTCACGATGCCTATCGCTACGTTGGCCGCAGCCAGGGAAGTTCCTCAAATTTCTCACTCAGCCACCAGTCCGCAACTGTCGAACAAAGCTGCATATCCATATTTTTTGAGAACGGTGGCTCCAGACGGCATCCAGGCAAAAGCGATTTGGGCTTGGATTGTGCAATTTGATGTTGTGTCGGCAACATTTCTGTACTCCCGTGAGTCCTTTGGCCAAGGGCTGCTGTCAGATGTGCAATTGTTGGCGCGGACCTCTGGCCGACCAGACGCAGTCCAGGGACAAGACATCCCATACATGCCGGTGGAGTACGACGCCGCACAAGCCCGAGAGTCCTTGAATGCAGCTCGGCGGCTACCTTCGCGCTTTATGATCTTGGCATTGGAGCCCAAGATGTCGAACCACATCCTGAGAAGCCTCCTGGCTGAGGGGATGCTTGGGGAAGGGTGGCAGATCGTGGGCACGGACACTTACGGCTCCACGGGAGACTTGCTTCCGGTCGGCTTCATGAAAATTCTCCCGGTGTCCCGGGGATCTCTCTTCCCCAGCTTCTTGCAGTTGTGGTCCAGGTTGGATCTGGAAGACATCCTCGGGCCTGAAGGAAAAGACTTCGGGATTGACCGGATGCGGAGACCTTTGTCCAACGAGTCCGTTGCGAAGAGCCTGGCGAGCATCCCAGCACAAGCCGTGTGGGCTCCTCTGGCTTTTGACGCTCTGTATCTTGGTAGCTGAGTGGTACCCTCTTGCCCTTTTTGGGTTATGGGTTCCCTTGTAAAAGTACTTAACTCCAAAAACGGTACCCTTATTATATTATGGTTACTCGGCTACCAAGGTATGCCTTCTTCATCGCCATCAACAGGCTTCTGTTCAAGGGAGTTGCGGAGCCTGACATTCGGGGGCAGGTGCTGTTGCAAGAGCTTCGCGAGACCAGCTTCCTTGGGATTACTGGTGAGGTGAGCTTCGATGAGTTTGGCGACCGTGTCGGAACCTTTGAACTTCAGAACCTGCAAAAGGATCCGAACTCGCAGTTGCTTCAAACAGTTGTGGTGGGTCTTTTCAGCACCTCGACTGGGCATTTCTCCTTCAGTAGAAATCCTGTATGGATGGATGGATCCGCTGGGATAAAGCCCCCGCAAGAGCTGAGTACTTGCATCCCTGGGTATTATGAAGAGGAGCAAACGAGACACTGCAGAGTATGTCCCAAAGGAATGATGTGCACGGGAGGTGCCAGTGCGGGATTCGAGGCATGTCCACGAGGGACCTTTGCAAACATGTCTGGCATGCTGAATTGTACCCCCTGTCCAGAGGGACACTTTGCACGGGATGTAGGTTCTGTCGAGTGCAGTCCTTGCGTGCCTGGTATGGAGGCACCGCACATGGGCATGGAAGAATGCACAAAATGTAAGCCAGGGAGATACATGCCATCCGCAGGGGCCTCCCAATGTTTGCCGTGTGGGCAGAGTCAGATCACATTGCAAAGCGGTGCTGACTCCCTTTCGTCCTGCCTTTGCGCAGAAGGCTCCTTCATGTGTCCGAACGTCGGCTGCATGCCGTGTTCCTCTGGCTTGCACTGCCCAGCAGGCCTGAGTCCTCCAGGGCAGAAGGCAGGTTTCTGGGCCGACCCTGGGGCTTTTGCGAGTTCCAAGGAGTGCGTGGCATCCGTACTGCGATGCCGCTCGGCATCAGAGTGTCCCAAGGCTGCCTTGGGGACATGTGCCCACGGAAGACATGGCCGAGCCTGCAACAACTGCCAGGTCGGCCACTTCCCGGACTTTGACGGGTCGTGTCAGGCTTGCGGAGAGACTGATGTTCTTCTGGGGGCCCTCTTTATTGCCGTCGTGCTGATTGCGCTCTTTAGTGTGAGCCTGATGAAGGTGGAGCCAAGCCAACTTAGTGTCTCAGCACAGACACAGCAATAAGGTTTGAAGCGAGTGCGAGACATCAAATACTATGTGCCTCAGGCCTATATTTGAGAGTTGGCTTTAAAGTAATCAAATGTTGGAGCGAAAGTGAGCGGTTCTTGTTATTTGTGTCTCATTTGGATTTTTGTTTACTTGAGTTGTATCTCTCTCTCCCAAGTTAGTTGGTTTCCTGTGTTCCTTTCATCTTTTCATTTCCTCTCCCTTCTGTCTGCGCCTGTGATGTAGGTTGCTGGAAGTAGGGGTCGCTACTTACCGCTAGCAGCGGCTCCTCTAGGCTTCAACCTGCTGACCGCGGCGGCGGTGGCAAGCCAGCTGGTCGTGGCCATCCAAGCATTGGGATCCATGCAGAAGCTCGCGATGGTTTGGCACCACCCTGCCAAGGAGCTGATGGAGTTAACCAGGCTGCTTACCCTCGACCTTGACTTCGTCCGAGTGTCGTGCCTCTACGGGCTGAACGACCCGGTTGTCACGTTCTTCGGCCGGCTGCTTCTGTGCCCGGCTCTCTGCGCACTTCTTTTCCTCAGCTGGTTGCTTGAGAAGGCGTGCGGACGGGCAACATCGCTGGACAGCCTCGTCAACTTGACTGGCTTGCTTCTCGTTTCCTTCTTTCTATCAATTACCCTGTCCACCCTTATCCCATTCCAGTGCACCATCAACCCAAGTGGGAGCTTTTCGCTCGTGACACATCCGGGCATCATCTGCTTCGAGTCAGAGGAGCACCTCGTGCTGACGCTGCTTGCATTGATTGGCGTTTGCACGCAGCCCCTCCCCATTCTCGCGTGGGCAACGTATGCTACCATCATGTACCCATCACGGGTTGCCAGTGGCAGAGGCCTTCGCCTGGTGAACCGGCACCGTTTCCTCTTCCACCGGTTCAAGCCGGAGCAGTACTACTACGGCTTGGTCTTACTGCTCCGCAACGGCCTGGTGGCGATTCTTCCCATTGCAACGGTGGAGCTCCCGGAGCTTCAGGTTCCCCTCATGGGCCTGATCTTGCTGGCCAGCTTGGCGCTGCAGGCCCGCACCTACCCATGGCGCACTGCGCAGGACTCCGGGGCTTTTTTGTGCGCATCTTTGCTCTCAGGAGTGTGCGGTTGAGAAGTTTTGGGGAAGGAACGGGGGGGGGGGATGAAGAGGGTGCTAAGTCTGCTAAGCGTCCCTGAATCCGAGAGGCCAATCATGTGGATTTAGGGATTGGCGTCCTCCTCCTGCTCATCCTCCTGGGGGCTGCTCCGATGCTTAGCCTCGACTTCGAAAGATCCTCGGTGGTGTTCGGCTGGATCCTGTGCATTCCCATCATTGGAATCCTGCTGCTGGGCACTGGAATTCTGGCATGTGCGATTTTCAAGCACATCGAACGAAGATGCCTCTTTGGTGTCTTCTTATGCCATCACAAGGGCGGTGCTGGAAGCCTCTGCCGTTTACTGAAGATCTTGATTGCACGGCACAGCCCAACGCGAGTGTTCCTGGATTGTGACCAGCTGGAAAAGTTAGACCTTCTCTTCGACATTGTCCGGACATGTACCAAGAGCGTCGTCGTGGTCCTCACGCCGGAGGTTTTGAAGAGAGTTTGGTGCGCAGGATGCGAGTTCTGGAGATGTCTCTCTCTCTCTCTATTGATTCTGAAGCTGCTAGCAAACCGAGAAGAATCACTAGCAGTCACTAGCTTCCAAAGCCAGTAAAGAACCGTTTGCAGGAGAGATCACCACGTCCTGGAAGAACCGAGTCACCACAGTACCCCTTGTCTGCGATGGCTTTCACCCACTCTCGGAAGAGGCGTGCAGACACATCTTCACTACCATATGGACCGCTCAGCAGAAGCAACTCCTGGCAAATTATGGCGTGGAGATTAACGACGTCAGCTTGGCGTACGCATGGCTCCAGGAAGAGTTGGACCCTTTGCAGATGCCTCGCTTTGGCCCAGCTTGGCCCTCAGTAAGGCAGCATGAGTATTGCCTTGCCCTGAGCTTCCAAAACTGTGCAAAGATGGCGTATTGACATGAGCTAAGGTGTGGGGTAGGGAGGACGTCGTGCGGGACCTGCTCGGCCGATGCGGTGTGCTCTCCCTCTCACCGCTAGGGAAAGGCTTAAAAAGAATGAGCTCTGCTCGTGACAGCCTGGCGCCCGCGAGAGCTCGGATTCTGATCACAGGACCCGTGTGCTGCATCCGATGCTGAGTTGCATTCTTCCTGTGAAGTTTCACGAAATCTGATCACAGGACCCAAGTTGAGAGTCTATGGTCTTAAGGTGTTAGGGTTGCAGTGTTTGTCTACTTCTGTTGCATTGCAATACGGCTGCCGGTGCATAGACGCCATCAAGCTTTCAGCTGCAGAAGCACTGCGCTGCGTGTATACAGGACCCGTCACGGACGCGGAGTCCCTTTCAGCATGCGAGTGCTTTCAGCTCCTCCTTCAGGGCCACTTGCAAGTGGAGTGCGCTGTGGTTCATGGCAGGCATGGGGCATGTTGATTCCGTACTCACAGTAAATTTAACTCTGAGATCGGCGTGACCAGTCCGCGTGCAGTTCACGGTTTTTTCTGCAAAAGTGCTTTGTCAGGCGTCAGATGGTGAGCTGGAAGAAGTGGGCCCACTACCTGGTCGTCTTGCTCTTCCGGGGCATCTTCAGCGACATCCTCTTTGCCCGGTCGCTCCTGGCCGCCTTCACGGCACCTGGGCAGGACCTGGAGCTCCTGACCGTCATCGCTGATACGCGCTTCGAGTTCCCAAGCCTGGATCCACACGCCAAAGTTGAAGTCCACGTCGACTCCGAGAGCATGCCGGACATGGAGTTGCTGCACCAGGTCGCTGGACACTTGTGGGTTGGGATGGTCCCCCCTTATACTTAGCAGTCCTGAATAGGGATTATGCCCCTTTATTCTCGTCCCTATTAAGGACTGTTGGTAGAAGGGGGGAACATCTCAACATGCATGTTGGGGCAATGTTCGGGTCATGTCGCCTCCCCCACGTGCCAAGGCGTTTTTCACGCGTCTGGCAGCATGTTCTCATCCATTTAGTGCCACTGCAGTATGGCTGAACTGCCGCTGGCTTTGAGGTTTCAGGGCTCCCATGTTTGGAAACCCTTGCGGATTTGCTGTGTAGAGCATACAGAAACCCTAAACACCCTCGAGCCGAAAACGCCCTTGTATACAGTGTCAAAATGCGTAACTCAAACAAAGCTTTGCTGTGAACGTGAGCGTTGAACTGCAGCGACAACGCGCTGCGTTCGTTGCAAACCTCGGTACTGCAATGTGCAAAGACGCGTAGGCGCTTAAAGGCACCGCGACCCTGTCAGCACCAAGGCTTACCGACGACTCATCAACGTTTTGGCCTTGCCGTTCTCGCCCCTGGCATCAGAAGGCTCACTTGCAATCCAGCTTCCCAAATACCCCAAAGCACCTGAGACAGGGTGCGGGGTAGCAGTAGCAGAGGTGCTAGTGCAGCGCTTAAGGGTGCAGGTTCGAGTTGTTTTGGGTGTACGGTTTAGGTAGTTGTGGGGTTCAGGGTTGTTTGGGTTTTGGTGTTGTTTGGGGTTTGGGGGTTCTTATCGTTTTGCGCCTGGGGTTTGGGGGACCCTTGTTAGAGGTATGACTCCCTTGATATCTAAGCCTTGTCACTAGGGTACAATGACATTTAGAGTTCGGGGCTGCTTAGGGTTTAGGGTTGTTTGTTGCGAATGGTTAAGGCTTCTTGAGTTTTTTGAGTTCCTAGTGTCTTGGTTTTTGAGGATGTGCGGATAAATTTTAGGGCGCTTTAGGGTTTAGGGTTGTTTTGGCCTTTTCAGGGCTTGGGGCCTCGCAGGGTTTTTTTGCTTGTGATTGACCGGAGTTCGAGACTACTGAGTGGTCGTTGAGGATTTAGGGTTTTGCCACATTTCTTCGTGTTTCGCTTCCGTTTCGGATGGAGGGGAGGGGGGGGCCGGTTTGTTCGTTTTTTTGGGGGAGTTGGGGGGGTGGTGGGGCGGGGGGTTGGGTTATGACCATGCTACTCTAACCATGCCCAAAACATCTGAGCCCTTCGACGAGCCTTCGACGCCTCGAAAAACCACGAGAAACTTTAACACCCAAAGCTGTGGTCGCTGCAGGCCTTCAGCAGAAGCAGGTTGCGGAGATTGCCAGCCGAATGCGCCGTTACAAGGAGCTCGGTGAGCTTTGGAGCAGTGGCTGGTGTGCAGTTCAGGGGTCCAAGGTTTAAGGGTCCAAGGGCTCAGCCTCCCCTGTACAGCCTGAAGTGCAGGATTCAGCCAGTGCATGGCACGATGAGGAGGACGACAAGCGTGGGAGTCAAGAGAGAGACGCGGGCTCCTGATATGGCTCCTGTGGAAGCCTGTCCCAAAGCTTTGCCCCATACTCCACACACCAAGAGCAACTGTGAGTGGGCAAAGCTGCATGTCATGCGGCTCCTAGGCTGGGCAGGTACCAGGCAAGAATCCAGTGACCCTGCAAGCTTTCCTGCCTTCCCACAGGTCTGCGCAATCCGATTAGGCATTGTGCCCCTAGCTGAAGATGCTTGAGTGTTGACATGGGGTCAGTCCGAGCGCAGGATCTCAGCTTCCAGCATCAAACGTCGGTGACCAGCTGCGCATCTGAAACTGAACAGGCCGCTGTGCCCAATCGGTTTGGCTGTTTTTTCGACTAATTGAATTCTGGCTGGAGTGTAAATACATTCCTGGCATCAAAGTTTGCTTTGAGAACTTGGCATTTGGGGCTTTGGCTTGGGGCGATGCAAGTCGTCAGCGACCACTCTCTCTTCCATGACCAGCTCATGTCTATGTTACGGCCCCTATCACGGAGTCTCCTTTCAAAGCTTCTACAAACATGGTAACATACAATGTTACAACACCACCCCCCCTTTCCAGACCGCCTCAGGTGCTGGGCAAGACGCTGAAGCTGCAGGGAATACCTTTGTCTCCCTCCATTGCATCAGCCCAGGACTTGGCAGGAGTGTCTACGAACTTACCATTGACGTAGATTCTGACACGAAGATCCGACGTCAGTCGACCGAAACCGACCGAAAGTGACCGACAGTGAGTCAACAGTGAGTCAACGCCCAGGCTGAGGAGGACGGCAGGACGGATTCTGAGGGGGAGGGCTCCTGGTTGTCCATGTGATGGAAAACAATTATCCCACGTGCCATCACCGCCCGGATGCCACACCGAAAATTGAATTTCAACATCTGTACCATCTCGTTTTTTTTTCTATTTATCGCTCAGCCCTCCCAGCGACCCAAAACATCGCAAAGCCGGGAAACACCAGGCAGGTACAGAATATGTGCGGTCTCGAGTGTTGCTTACACTGCTTAAGAAAGGATCCCTGGAGTCGTTGCAGTTGACAGGGGCCGTGCTGTCTGCTTTTTCCTTCTCGGTGAAGCCGTGATGCACGCAGCAAGAGCATGTAGCAGCGCACGTGAGCTCGTTGAAGATGAGCGTGCGCATCCCAAGTTTTCAAGCTATCTGCATTTTCTTGAATGTGGAAGTTGCAAATGCCTACCGATCGCATGGTCGGGCCACAAAGCGACGTACGCAACGTTCTAAGCGACAAAGCGACGAAGCCATGAGGGCATTCCACATCTTCCAACAGGATCGTCTTTGAAGCAGTCATCAGGGATCCAGAAGTGCTATCTTACAAAGTTATCAAGGGAGAAAGCGCTTCAGAATGCACTTGCCAACGAGATGTTAGGTCGAGCACTGGTTGAGCATCTTCCTTATCATGACTGCAGCTTTGTCTTGAAGAGCAGTAGTTCTACTGTGCCTTGGCCGACGCCTCCCAGCCATCACCATGGCGACGACCGCGCAGTACGCAGGTCAGAGCAGCTTCTTCGGAGACAACACGCCGCTGCCCATTGAGTCCGGGTACGCCATCGTGCTTGGCTTTGGAGCTTTCTTCTCGGTGTTGACCACGGTGCTCGTGTATCTCGACAAGTATGCCAATGGCACGGAGCACACATCAGAATTCTTCAACACCGCGGGCCGATCAGTGAAGACGGGCTTGACGGCCTCCGTGATTGTGTCGCAGTGGACCTGGGCTGCGACGCTTCTTCAGTCTTCCAACGTGGCGTGGCAGTACGGAGTGTCTGGGCCGTTTTGGTACGCCAGCGGCGCGACGATCCAGGTCTTGCTCTTCGGCATCCTGGCCATCGAGATCAAGCGCCGTGCTCGGACTGCACACACCGTTTGCGAGATGGTCCTGGCAAGGCAATGATGCTCAGCCACAGCATGCTATAGCCATATTGCATGCGTGAGTGTCGGCGTAAGTGTGAGGCAGGCTAGGCGGAATACGACTGTTCTGCGGTTCGGGTAGTGCAGGTGGGGCAAGGCGGCGCACCTGACCTTCCTCTTCTTCGCGCTGCTGGCGAACGTCATCGTGACCTCCATGCTCCTGCTGGGTGGCGCAGCAACCGTGAATGCGCTGACCGGCGTGGACACGAACCTCGCTTCCTTCCTGATCCCCTGGGGCGTGATCTTGTACACGGCGGCTGGTGGCTTGAAGGCAACATTCATGGCCTCATACCTGCACACTGCCATCATTTTCCTGGTTCTGGTGGTGTGCGTGTACACCGTCTATGTGAAGAATTTCTCCTCCGACATGATCTATGAGGGCCTGCAGCGGGTGTCCGGTTACTCGACAGCACAGTGCGAGTCGATCTTCAGCCTGAACACCCAGACCTTCTTCGAAGCCGGCAAGTATGCCTGCGGACCTGTGAAGGAGAACGAGGGCGGATCCTACCTGACCATGCTCTCAGGGGGTGGCACCAAGTTCGGCATCATCAACATCGTGGGCAACTTCGGCACCGTTTTCGTGGACCAGTCGTACTGGCAGTCTGCGATCGCCGCAAAGCCGACCAGCGCGCACAAGGGCTACCTTCTGGGTGGGCTGGTTTGGTTCACCATCCCTTTTGCCCTCGCCACGTCCCTGGGGCTCTGTGCCGTGGCGCTGCAGCTGCCAATCTCCTCCAGTGAGGCTGGCTCTGGCCTGGTGCCGCCCGCCGTCGCCACGCACCTTTTCGGTAGCTTCGGGTCGGTGATGATGGCGGTGATGCTTTTCATGGCCATCACCTCCACAGGCTCTGCCGAGGGCATCGCTGTCTCATCCCTGGTGACCTACGATATCTACAAGACCTACATCAACCCCCAGTGCACCGGGAAGCAGGCGCTGATGATCTCTAAGATTGTTGTGGTGGTGTTTGGCCTTCTCATGGGCGGGCTTGGTGTAGCCCTGAACTACATGGGCCTGAACCTGGGCTGGGTGTACCAATTCATGGGCAACGCCATCGGCTCCGCCGTCGTCCCCCTTTGGAACCTCCTGATGTGGAAGAACGCCAATGCCACCGGAGCTGTCGTTGCCGCCTGGGGTGGCATGGTCCTGGCTTTGTCCACCTGGCTCATCGTCTGCCAGGCAGAGTTTGGCGAGATCACCATCGACAACCTCGGCACCCTGAATCCGAACCTGGCTGGCAACATTGTTGCCTTGGTATCTTCGGGCCTGATTCACGCCGCCTTCTCCTTTGCCAGCCCCCAGAATTATGATTTCGAGTCCATGGGCAAGATCGACGCTTGCTTAGTAGACAGGCAGCCATGACCTGCTGCCTATATATTTGTATGTGTCTTTTTCAACAACTATTGTTGATCTGTGTTGACCAGTGCCTCAGTGCCTGGGACAGCTTCAGCAAGCTAAGGAGATGCTTGAGCAGGACATGAGCGGGCTTGATGACCAGGACTACACCTCGGAGTTTCTGGATGCGGCCAAGTGGTGGATTCAGAAATGGGGCTACGGCTTCACCGTCCTCATGGTTCTCATTTGGCCTTTGCTTTCCTTGCCCGCCGGCGTCTTCACCACGGACTACTTTGCCTTCTGGGTCTTCATCAGCATCGCATGGAGCTTCGTGGCCACCTTCGTTATCATCGTCCTGCCCATCCAAGAGTCCTGGGGCGCCATCATGGGGGTGTGTTACTACATGGTCGGCAAGAAGGCCCCTGAGGCCACCACCAAGACTGCCGAGCCTGCGGCAGTTGACGCTTCTGAGAAAGCAGAGCTTCAGCTCTGAGTGTATTTTGTGAAGCAAGTGTTATGACCACTGCTGGGTTTAGTAGAGCAGGTGGAACCTGCCAGGCTTTTCGCTTCCGTGGACCCGTGGGACAGCAGGTGGAGCCTGCACACCCCAAGGACCTGGCGTGCTCCAGCGATGCGGAAGCGCACGCTCGGAGCTCACGAGGCATCGCGGCCACGCATAGCGTCCCGTGATCCAACCTCGTGCTCAGCTGTCCTACCTCATTTATGTCCGCAATGTTCGTTATCCTGTGCTGCCTTGTGGACTCAGGATAAAAGAGCATTTCAAAGTTGAAGCCGTGCGTTCATGAATGAACCTGAAGGGAGTGTTGTTCTGCGCCGCCATCAGAAGTAGGAGCGATGGGTCCAAGAAAGGGGCCGCAATTCGACTAGCATCAGATGACAGCAATGCGAGTGTACCATCTATGACACTATGAGTCATGAATGTATAACATGTTCAAGGGTCCTTTTGGTCGTCGGGTCTTCAACGACGTATGCCAAGTTCTGAGGTGACAAAGCAAAGCTTCTATGAGAGCCATGGTAGTTTTCCATCCCCCCATTTTGATTCCATTCTTTCTAGCATTGTCGCAGGGGTCAGGATTCGGACATACTCTGTGATCGTTCTTGAAGCAGTCATCAGGGGATCCAGTTCGCAACGTCCTACACATTCAGGAGACAGAGAATGGATTTGATGAGGTGCGAGCCAGATCTTAGATTGAACGTGGCTGAGCACTGGTTGAGCATCTTCCTGATCATGACTGCAGCTTTGTCTTGAAGAGCAGTAGTTCTACTGTGCCTTGGCCGACGCCTCCTAGCCATCACCATGGCGACGACCGCGCAGTACGCAGGTCAGAGCAGCTTCTTCGGAGACAACACGCCGCTGCCCATTGAGTCCGGCTACGCCATCGTGCTTGGCTTTGGAGCTTTCTTCTCGGTGTTGACCACGGTGCTCGTGTATCTCGACAAGTATGCCAATGGCACGGAGCACACATCAGAATTCTTCAACACCGCGGGCCGATCAGTGAAGACGGGCTTGACGGCCTCCGTGATTGTGTCGCAGTGGACCTGGGCTGCGACGCTTCTTCAGTCTTCCAACGTGGCGTGGCAGTACGGAGTGTCTGGGCCGTTTTGGTACGCCAGCGGCGCGACGATCCAGGTCTTGCTCTTCGGCATCCTGGCCATCGAGATCAAGCGCCGTGCTCGGACTGCACACACCGTTTGCGAGATGGTCCTGGCAAGGCAATGATGCTCAGCCACAGCATGCTATAGCCATATTGCATGCGTGAGTGTCGGCGTAAGTGTGAGGCAGGCTAGGCGGAATACGACTGTTCTGCGGTTCGGGTAGTGCAGGTGGGGCAAGGCGGCGCACCTGACCTTCCTCTTCTTCGCGCTGCTGGCGAACGTCATCGTGACCTCCATGCTCCTGCTGGGTGGCGCAGCAACCGTGAATGCGCTGACCGGCGTGGACACGAACCTCGCTTCCTTCCTGATCCCCTGGGGCGTGATCTTGTACACGGCGGCTGGTGGCTTGAAGGCAACATTCATGGCCTCATACCTGCACACTGCCATCATTTTCCTGGTTCTGGTGGTGTGCGTGTACACTGTCTATGTGAAGAATTTCTCCTCCGACATGATCTATGAGGGCCTGCAGCGGGTGTCCGGTTACTCGACAGCACAGTGCGAGTCGATCTTCAGCCTGAACACCCAGACCTTCTTCGAAGCCGGCAAGTATGCCTGCGGGCCTGTGAAGGAGAACGAGGGCGGATCCTACCTGACCATGCTCTCAGGGGGTGGCACCAAGTTCGGCATCATCAACATCGTGGGCAACTTCGGCACCGTCTTCGTGGACCAGTCGTACTGGCAGTCTGCGATCGCCGCAAAGCCGACCAGCGCGCACAAGGGCTACCTTCTGGGTGGGCTGGTTTGGTTCACCATCCCTTTTGCCCTCGCCACGTCCCTGGGGCTCTGTGCCGTGGCGCTGCAGCTGCCAATCTCCTCCAGTGAGGCTGGCTCTGGCCTGGTGCCGCCCGCCGTCGCCACGCACCTTTTCGGTAGCTTCGGGTCG